GTAGAGATGGGATTTTACCATGTTAGCCAGGATGGTCTCGATCTCCTGACCTCATGATCCACCCGTGTCAGCCTCCCAAAGTGCTGGGATTACAGGCTTGAGCCACCGCGCCCGGCAAGAGATTCTTTAAAAACTACCCAGCTCTTTCCTATGATGAAAAATACAGATGAAGTACAACCCTAACTCAAAGGGTCTTCATGCCAACCTGAATTAGGCTTTATATTCTTAGTGTCTACAAGTCAGAGGTCTTGCAGACATCTCTACCTGTCTAGCAGAATCAAGCTCTGTATAAGTTGCGATACAAGCTGGGTCATTCCAGTAACATGAGTTGATTTTTCTCACATAAAAAGTCCAGGTTGGTAGTCTGAGGATTACATGGTAGTTTCATAATCATTAGGAACTGAGGATCCTTCTTATTGCTCTACTGTTCTTGACCTGTGGTTTCCATTGCATGATTGAAGAGGGCTGCTCCAGTTCTTGCTATCAAATGTGCATTGCAGACAGTGGGAATGGGGAAAAGTGTAATGCTCACCCATTCCTTTTATGGGCACCATCTGGAAGTAGCACCATGATGTTTGCTCACATTCATCAGCTAGAATTCAGTTAAATGATCATACCTAGCTGTAAAAGAAACTGGGAAATAGAGTCCTTAGGTGGGCAGCTATGTGCCTAATACAAATTCTATTTCTGTGGAAGAAAGGGAGACTGAGTATTGGGAGACAACTAGTGGTCCCTAACCCAAGCTGTATAGCTCGGTGCTTTCACTCCTTGTAACAAGCAAATCAGCAATGTCTTACCAATCCAAGATTCCTTGCTAACCACTGTCAATTAAAAGTCTACAGAATTGAAATTCAGCAATAATTTTTATTAGCCAAAACTGGCTTGTAAAGAGTACAGGCCGGCCGGGCATGGTGGCTCATGCCTGTAATCCCAGCACTTTGGGAGGCCAAGGCGGGCGGATTACCTGAGCTCAGTAGTTTGAGACCAGCCTGGGCAGCACGGTGAAACCCCGTCTCTACTAAAAATACAAAAAATTAGCCAGGCATGGTGGCGCGTGCCTGTAGTTACAGCTACTTGGGAGGCTGAGGCAAGATA